TCGAAATGCAGTTTTATGAGCATCTTGTTTGGCCATCTGTATCTGATTGTAGCCATTGTAACTTGATGAGCGCTAAAAAGTACACATTTAAACCCCTTAAGCTTAGGTATTCTATGATCTTTATCTATCTTACTTTCCTGTTTTAGACTAATGTCGTGTTATTGCCCTTTTTAGGTGCTTATCCCCAAAATAAGCTAATTTAGCCAAATAAGAGCTTAAAAGAAGCAACTCAAGCTGGATGGAAGAAAGGAGAAAAGTGGAAGCAGATTGAAACAAAGTACAGAGTTCAGCAGGTTCGATCGATTTCAGAATATATTCGATCGATCGAAAGTTCATCGATCTAAGCAGTTCAAGACGGATCTGAGCTTTTGTCCTTACCCACAAGATTCCACAAAGTTCGATCGATCTCAACAGCTATTCGATCGATCGAAGTGCTCGATCTTATCCACATGTACTACTCCAGCTGCCACTTTTGTCTTCTTCCCAAAAATATCTCAAAATATCTTAGAGATTTGTCCTTATTCAAAAAGGCGCCGCCATAGATGATCGATCTCTGCACTATTCAATGGATCTCAGCCATGCTCAATCAATCTCACCACAGTTCGATCAATCGAACTTCCTAAAGCCCGAAAAAAAGACAAAATCCAGCTCATTAAAGGTTGGCTCATGGTGCAATCATTGGAGGAATATTGATGTGCGAGCCTAGACCATTGGGTGTGACATTTTAACCTACCTATATAAGGAATGTGAGCCACTTTTATACATATGCTTAGATATGCTTTTGGGTAGATAGTTTTTAGAGACAATTCTTAGAGAGGAAGAAAAGAAAAGAGGAGGCTAGAGACATTCTTGAGAGGTTTTCCATCTTCGTCAAGAAGAGGAGCATTTCTACCATGGAGATAGCCCTTGAGGGTTGGAGGACACCATCCATGAGTGGCTAGACATTCTCTTAGGGCTAGAGTTAGCCCTAAGCATACTTTCTTTATCTTGATTCATGTATTTTTGAGGGGATTTGTGTTGTAATACATGTTTTGACATATTTATATACATAGATCTTGTTTATTCAATGATTTGTGTGGTTTAATTCTTCCAAGTGACCATTTCATCCTATCCATATGTCTATGTATGCTAGAATAGATGTTCATGTGTTTATCTCTATTTCTTGTGTTGTTGATGCATGTTTATGTGTATTAATGTTATAAATCTGTCAAGACATAGTGCTTAATAGAATGCTCTTGTAGTTTATTTGATGGTTCATACTCATTACTTGATGGATTGTGCATTTCTCTTAGTTTAATTTCATGTCATTAGCTTAGATGTAGTGTAGTTACCTTAGTTATTAAATGGGAGGACAATCCATGCTTGTTGTTTGATATTCCATACTTATGAATGCAAGTAGTATATTTCTTTAATTTTGTGATGTGTTTGGATTGTGAGCTTAAAGAAGGATTAATGGCTTACTTTGATCTATTGTGCTATTCATTGTGTTATCTAGACAATATACACTTAATTGGTCATCCATGCTTGTTAAAACAACCACACACACTCACTATTGTTGCAACATATGCCTTCCCCTCATTAATTGTGAATTGAGTGTATAGAAAAGTGATGCTTAGTGGTGATTTCTAAATCCCAAGACCTCTCTCTCTTGTTTTCTCTATCCTTTAATTACTTTATTGATACTGATCTTGTTTAGTTTTAATTGTAGTTTAATCAACCAAACAACCTACCTTTGATCACTCAACCTACTAACCCTAAGCCTTGTTTCCACTACTAGTGCACCCTCAATCCCTTGGGACGAACCCTACTCACCCTTGCTATATTTTTAGTTAGTGGTAGTAGCGGCATTTATAAATGTAAAACTTGGCCACACTATTTTGTACAAAATTGGTTGAACACCACGACGGGCACACCAAGTTTTTAGCGCCGTTGCTGGGGATTTAATTGACAACGCCGTGTTTTGGAAACAATTAGGGATTAGTACTCTTTTGATCGTGTCTTTTCTTTATTTTATTTTTGGTTACTTATTGTGTTTGTTCTTATTTGGCTAGGTGAAATTGAGTAAGGAGGTTAAGCAAAGGAGACTTCAAAGCAAGGAACTAAGCTAAGCACAAAAAGGACTAAAAATCTAAAAAAATGCAAAGCATAGCAAAGTTTGGAAGTTGAAAATGAATTGAAGTTGTTTAAGGACCCTTTGTGAGATCTTACTAACTCAAGCCCTAGTTAAATCGTCGACCCGCGTGGAGGCTTGTTTTCCATTTCTTAGATAAATCGTGAGCCCGCGTGGAGGCAATTTACTTTTCTTTGTATGTTGTTACTTGCTTGTTATTTGCTTTTCTAGTGTATGCATGGTCGTAGGTCATTGAATCCTACTATTGTTCCTCCTAATTTGTATCTTGAATCGGTTGTTCGTAATCCTAGGGGAAGGGGTAGTTCTCATCACTCCATTTCACCAATGGAGGATTTGAATGACGACCATGTGGAGGACCTTGGTCACATAGACCAACAAGGCAACCTCCACCCTAATGTGCATCATGAAAATGTTCAAGTACCATTAGGCATGCCTAGACCATTCATTCACCCATGACAACAAGGCCAAGTTCCCTTGGGAATGCCTAGGCCAATATTTGCTCCACAACCCCCCATAGTTCAAGCTAATCAAGGTGTTCGTTTAACACCACTAATTATGAATCCTCCCATTGTATTGAGAGACCATTATGTGCCTAATGAATACAATGCACCCATTTGCATTCAATTGCCTCCATTTAGAGCACATCACTATGAAATTAAACCATAAACCATTCAAATGCTTCCTAACTATCATGGACTTCCAAGTGAAGAACCGTATAAGCATTTAGATGAGTTTCTTGAAGTATGTTCCACCGTGAAATACACAGACATGCCGGAAGAAGTGTTAAGGCTTAAACTTTTTCCTTTTACCCTTAAAGACAAGGCAAAATATTGGTTCAACAATCTTAGGCCTTTTTCGATAACTTCTTGGACGGAAATGCAACAAGAATTCTTGAAAAAGTACTATCCAGTTTCAAAGACCAATGCCATGAGAACTTCTATTAGAGAATTTTCTCAAGGGGATGGGGAAATGTTTCATGAGGCATGGGAAAGGTTTAATGATTTGCTAAGAAAATGCCCACATCATGACATACCTAAGTGGTAATTAGTCCAATATTTCTTTAAAAGCTTACCGGATAATCACAAGGGTATAGTTGATGCATCAATGGGTGGTTCTTATCTTGACAAGCATGAAAATGATGTGTGGCAATTGTATAAAAGTATGAGTGAAAATTCCATGCACAGATCTCTGTCTTCTAAAAATGGTAGAAATCTAGGAGGAAGGAAGAATGTTGACTTGTATCAAGTTGACAACTCCAATGATATAACCGCCGAGATGAAATCATTATCTCAAAGATTTGATCAATTCTTTATTAACCAAAACTCGGCAAATCAAGTATCTTCTTCCCCTAATCATGTTTATCATCGTGCATCTAATGAATCATGTATGACTTGTTCTAGTGTCTTGCATTCTACTTCCAATTATCCCCATGGACATGTGCAAAATGACAACCATGAGCAAGCCAATGCTATTTTTGCTAACCAAGGGAATAATCCCTATGACAATCATTACAATCCTAGTTGGAGGAACCATCCGAATTTTTCTTGGAAAAGCCAAGGGGAAGGCTCAAACCCTCCCCAAGGTGGTTTTCAAGGGAAGTATGTTCCACCTCCGATGCAAAGCCAAGGTTCCCAAGGTTTTAGATCATCATTTCAATCACATGGTAATCAATTTTCTAATTCTCATTTTCCTAATCAACCATCTTATTCTGAAGGAAATTCTAGGAGTCCCGCTTTTGAAGAGAAAGTTTTGACCGCTCTAGGCACTCTAGAGGTGAACACTCAGTTGCTTCATTCTCATTCTCAATCCATTGCTAAGCTAGAAACCCAAGTAGGGTAAATAACTAGTACTTTAAATGCTAGAGAGAAGGGGAAGATGCCTTTGAATGCCCCACCAAAGCAACAATGTGTTGTGGAGACTCATTCCTCATTGGAAAGTCCTATAATAGAGCATATCAATGCGGTAACAACCTTGAGAAGTGGGAGAATCATTGACAACAAAGTAGGTGTGTGCAATGAAGAGAGTGAACCGATGCAACCCAAAGTTGACACCCGTCCTGTTTCACATTTTATTCCTCCTTTATTGCATTTACATGACCATCATGTTAAGAAAGTGTTGAAAAATGATTTGAAAGATGAATCAAAGCATGATTTGAAAAATAATTTAAAAAATTCTTGTGTTGATGATGTTTCAAAGAAGGATTTTGAAAAAGTTTTTGAGCCAAGAGCTCCATTTCCGGATGCCTTAAAAGGATCAATTTATCTTGACAAGCAAAAGAAAAAGACAAATGAAATCATTGATGTGTTTAGGCAAGTGAAGGTTAACCTTCCACTTTTGGATGCAATCAAGCAATTCTGGCTTATGCCAAGTTTTTGAAAGATCTTTGCACCCAAAAAAGGAAGAACAAAAGGCAAGCACCTAGGAAAGTGGTCTTGACCGAGCAAGTAAACTCTATTTTGCAACATAACACTCTTCTAAAGTTCAAACACCCCGGTTCACCTACTACATCTTATGTCATTTGTGACAGCACTACAAGAAAACTGGGTTTTTACGACTTAGTATTTACGGGATCTTTTATTTTGTCTCGTAAAAACTACCTTTTACGAGGATTATTAGAGGCCACTTGTAATTGTCACACCAAGAGTCACTCTTTCACGGAATGTTAATAAAATTCTCGTAAAAAACTGTTTCCACGGGAGGTTAAAGCCACTTGTTAATAAATATATTTTTAAGGGTGTAATTTTCTCCTGTGAATGTGAAAAAAAAAATTAAAAAAAAAAATACCGCCCACATATTTTTTCACTCCCGCCAAACTCTTTGACGAAAAAAAGAAAAGAAAAAAGAAACAAGAATCTTCACTAATACACGGCTCAACAGACCTCTTTGCCTCATTTGATAATCCCAAAAATCTTCTTCTGTACATCTCGCTGCAAAGGGGCTTTCCATTGTCGTCTCTGTCTCCGTTCGCCATCGTCGTCTCTGTCTCCGGTCGCCATCAAAGCAAGCCTTCTTTCTCGCCCTTTGTCTCATCGGTAAGCAAAATTCCCTCTTGCTATCAAAATATTCCAAAGCCCTAATTACCTTTCTCTTTTAATTCGCCCTAAGAACAGCAATAGCTTGCTCTCAATTGTAGAGAGAATCGCCCAGGTACAATTCGTCTACTCTGAATCTCATCTATGTTCTTCTCCATTCTTCTTTCTTTTTTGCTGAACTCTCATAATCTGATTTTTGACTTCTACAATGTTTTTTCTCAGAGGGGAATCACCCAGGAATTTGTTTTTAGGCTTAACTCACACCTTCCACTGCATCCGTTTCCGTCGCTGCCGGTACCTTTCGGTTAATGGACAAAGTTTGGGTATTATTTATCTATTTCTTTTTTTAATTGAATTAAAAATTAAAGGAAAGTATATATCAATAAAAGTTTGTTTGATTTTAGAAGAGAACGTATAGAAATTAAGAAAAGAAAAAAAAGAAAAAAAAAAAAACTTAACTTTCTATATGTACTGCTTTCCATCATTTGAGGCTTTTGATTATGGACTTTGCATAATTTTTAATGATTACTCACGTTGATTTACTTTATTTTGGTTTCTGAGAAATCCTAGGGTGAAGGCGAAATTTGTAATACTTTCTATTTATTAGTTTATTGTTATATTTCTTAGTATAGGTTTTCTTGAGTATCTCATAAATGTTATCTTGACGGTGGCTTGGGAAAACAGTGTCCTTCACTCTCCTCTCTAGTAATAATGTCTGATAGTGGTTCCTATTGTAGTCTCTCTCTCTCTCTGTGTGCTTTTTTATTTTTATTTTTATTTTTTAAAAGCATATATATACCATTTGTGTTATATTGTTTAGAAAATGTGTTGCCCAGTCATGCTTAGAATTCCTCACTATTTAGACAAAGCCACTTCATTTTACATGATGATTTGACATGCAATTTTTAGTTTGCTGAGTATATTTAGTATGATGTATTCTTGAGATCTATAGTACTGTACTCTACAAGATCCCTAGGCCTGTGATGATGCTAATATAGTGACAGTCTAATTTAACTTGGTGTGGAATAATGCAAGACAACATAGATTTTGATCTATCATGGCATACATACACACATACGTGCACACTAATAGAATTTACAGCCAGCAGTCCTCAGCCACTGCTCTCAACTCAAGTTTAGAATTTATTTTAGGCCTTTAGCTATTTTATTGGGTTGTTCATCCTAGGAATCTCAAATGCTGATTTTCTTCTCCTTCCTCGGTTTTAAAGGCCTTTATTTTTGGATTGTTGTTTAATAATGTTATTTCAAGCAGGATTTATTTATGGAACTAGAATGAATATTTTATCCCTTATAATTGGGTTGATGCCATAATAGTGGAAACTTTAGGAGGCAATGACGAGGAAAAGGGGTTGATGGGGTCACTTGACGAGTTAAAAGGTTGGCCTTTTTGTCCTTTGATTTTTTAGAATTTTTTTCTTAATTAATTGAACAATGTTGTCTTCTCTGTTTTTTACTTTCTCACTCTGTCCTGTGTGCACACACGAAATTTTAATTGTTGATGCTATTACTGCAGAAAGTAGCATTCCCCTGTCTCCCCAGTGGCTTTATGCTAAACCGAGCGAGACTAAGATGGTGAGTTCTCTCAATTATCAGGGGAACAAAGCTTTGTTTTTAATTTAAATAACTTTTTTTGTTTCATGTTGTCTATTATTATCTATGTAGGAAATACTAATTGTATAAATGTGTAATTTTTTTTTGTTTTGTATATCCAAAGTTATGTTGGGATTAGCTTATATATATTTTGTTTCAAAACTAAAATTTTATGTATCTCTATCTCAATGCCATCATGTTTCCTTTTTATTTTTATTTTTACATAGGCATGCCTTTAGTTTTCCTTCTTACTGTGTGCTCAGTCACTTGAATCAGAAAAATGATGGTGTGTCTTCTTTTAATATTTTATAGCACCTTTTGTTTGATTATATTGTTTGGTTAATTTATTTGATGTAGACAAAAAAAAAAAAAAAATTTATTTTCATTGAATGAGCTTTACGAGGTCAGATTGATGATTTTTATTTACGATTCTTTTTTTTTTTTATCTTGATCCCTTTCCTGGTCTTGTTTATCTTGATCCCAATTCCCTCAAACTAACATTTTTTCAAACAATCGCGCACTCCAAATCATATATGTACAAACACAGACACACATATACATATATTTGCCTGTATATATATAGAGAGAGAGTAATGGCGATGGAGACATGGGAAGAAGGAAGAGCTTGGGGTAGAGAAAACAGTGTTATGAGCAGAATGATCGCTTCGAGAAACGAATAGGACATTAATCGTGCGAACCCAAATTAGTCTATGATTAAGTGTGTGGTTACTACCGAACCCGTACAATTTATCTACTTTATCATCAAAAAGGAAATTAAAAAAAAGGACATCTTTGAAATATCTTTCGGAGCACAGCACAATTTCCGAATTTCATGTGTACCCAACCAATAGAACTACCCAAAAGTCTATTCTCACATGGAATTTTCAATTCATTCTTATTACTGGTTAAATTTAATGCATATATGCAAATATAAGTGTGTGTATATATATATACGCACATACTGCTTCTTAATTCTTATAATCATCATTTGTTTAATCAATACTATTCATAGACGCACACGCTTTGACACGCCTGGGATTTCTAGCTCTGTTTTTATTTTTATTTTCTTCTTTTCGGGTTTTGTTTTTGTTTCTAAAAAGAGTTTGTCAAAAGCAGATTTAATTATAGCCTCTATCTTTTTTCTGTTTTTTTTTTTTTTCCTTTCTTTACTTTTCTTTTCTTTGTTTCAATGTTTTTGTTTGTGTTGACCCTGTGATAGTTGGATGTGTGGTAATGTGTTTGTCACTGTACCAAAGCTGACACACCGTATTTTTTCTAACAATTGAGAATATTTATTTATAATTTTGTGTTTTGATATAGCGGGGGATAGAGGGTCGAGATAAATAGATTGAGATTCTTATTAGGCACGATTTTTTAAAGTTGGAAATTTTATTGGGTGGGTGATTTTTAAGGGCCTAGGGTTCACAGTCTTACTTTACTCTCAATATTCGGTGCCTTGTTTTTGAGGGATTTGAAGCTGCGGACTAACAAGGGTCATCGATCTTTCCTGATTTCTTCATCTGGGTTGTTTAGATTCCATGATTTCTCATCTGGGTCGGTGAGTTTTTCTGGTTTTAATCATCTGGGGTGTTGAATTTTGTTGGGTTTTCTTTTCTGTTTTGTTGATTTTTACATGTTTCTATAAGGGTTTGGGGAAATTTCTTGATTTGGGCTGTTTGTGAGTATAATTTTAGGGTTCGTTTTTGTTTCGCCCCCTTTCGATTCCTAAACTGGTCGGAAGATTAGTGTTTTTGGTTTTCAGTTTGGTCTTCCCAAGTGGGTTCTTCATTGCGAGTTGGGGTTTGGCTTGTCTGGATTCTTGTGGTGGGAGGTGTGGTGATTGGTTTGGATTCTGGCTTTGTGCAAGGGATTCTGATTCTTGCTCCAAGGCAGACTGTGTTTTGGAGAAGATGGTTTTGACCTTGAACTCAGGGTTCGGATCGGGTTGGCGTAATCTGAACCATATTTTATGCAGATTTTATGCTTAACTTTGGAGATTTTAATTCAGTGGCTCTCTTGTAGAAGGAAGTTAGTTTATTTTCCTCTTCAACACTTGTGGAATTGCATGTAAAGGATGTACCATACTCAAGGAGCTTCAAAACACAATTGTGGTCTCCTTGCGGTTTTAGGGGGGAGAACTTCTGGAAAAGAACAAAAGCAAGATCCCCCAGAAGATTGGCCGCTATATCCCTTTCCAGAGATTGTTTCCTCGGGTCGTTTGGAGGTGCAAATTAACACCTAATTGCATCATTTTGTTATGAAATGTATTTCCTTAGATGTCACTTTGTTCTGAGGTTTATGAGCTAATGGTGTTTCCAGGTCTGATGAGTTTTAAACTATTCTTTTAATTCGTTGCATGCAGGTTCAGACTCTGAACAATCCAAGCGTAGAAGAGTTCCATAAAGTTCTTGATTCATTTCAACCAAGTTTTGTGTATTTGCAAGGAGAACAGCTTTCGAATGATGAAGTTGGATCTCTGGTGTGGGGAGGTGTTGCCTTATCTACTACTGAAGCCATATCCGGGCTTTTTGGTTCCACATTGCCAAATACTGTATGTGACTTATACCTTCTACTTGTTTTTGTGAAGTGGCTTTTTTATATATGACTTGATGTTCTTCTGTCTGCAATTCTTTTATGCTTCCCATGCACTTGTTATTTTTTTCCATTTTGGTGGAGAGGGGGTTGTTAGTCTGCATTTTTTCTAAAGAATTTTATTATTGTGAGTTGGTAGTTGAATTTTTTTTTGATAAGTTGATAGTTGCATTTTAACTGCATTTTTGCCTATGTTTTTTATTTTTTGGTGATCCACTGTTTGAAAATTAACTTTATGCTTTGTGTGTGTGTGTGTGTGTGTGTGTATAGATTATGTGATCTCTTGTACTTCAAGATACAATTGTTCTTCGTTCGTAAAGGGAGCAGCATGGATCTTTAAGGGATGTGCTTCTTGTTTCAGGTGGTCTCGGGGTATGCAAGTAATCCAAGTAAAAGTGAGTTGGTGTGATAGTCAGGGGGGTTGTTGGTGTGCACTTTGTCGCTGTATATATAGGCTTTCAAAGAGCTTTCTTTTTATTTTGGTTTGCCTCTTGGTTGCAACAAGCTGAGTTGGTGACTGTAAGAGGGTTATTGATGTGCATCTTTTTTCCTTAATTTAGGGTGTTGATTGGGGGAGCTTTCTTGAGAGAAGGTATGGGGGATGTAGGACTTATTATAGATTTAACGACGTTACTCTTCATCTCTAAAATTGTTTAGCAATTCTTTTCTGGTAACTAGCACAGGTAGATGGACTTGAATTATCGCGTTGGGAAAAAAATGATGCGAACTCCTTTTGAAATGGGTTGTTTTTAAATTAGTACCGTTATTTTATGAATCAATCTCTCATGGGTAGTGGAAGAGAGAACGAGAGTTGTAGCCTAGTGATGTCTTTATCTCTACTCTCTAATGGGTGGGTGTGTTATTTGACAGATGCTAAAAAAAACAAAAAAAAAAAAAAAAAAAAGAAAAAAATCGATCTGAGAATCCTTGAAGGATGTATAGTTTTGAAAAAATGACATGAAAATTCAATCTATAAGAAGTCATTGACATAAAAGTTAAGTAATACCCAGTTCAGAAAAGTAACAAAACAAATACATAAAATGCATATTTCTCTTCTACCGTTCACCAAAACAGAGACAAACCATAATTACATTGCAACCCAAAAACCAAATTCAGCACAAACAACAAATTGTAAATATGTCAAATTGTGGTGATTAATATCAAATAACTATGAAAACAATGAATTCAAACCCAAATTCAACACAACCCAAATAGTGCCTCAATCTCACCATCACCCAAAATTTAACTCACAACATTAGAACTGAAAAGAAAGTAAAAATTCAAAATAAAACTCACAATTAGTTGAAGACCTCCTGTTACTCATCGATAGACTGTTACATATTCGTGAAAAGATCTCTATTTTTCTTGGTAGCGTTCTGTGACTGTGTATATTAGGGATGAATTAGATTAGGGAAGTCTGGTTTGCAAGCTATATTTGCATGAATTAGATTAGGGAAGTCTGGTTTGCAAGCTATATTTGCTTCTCTGATTTTGTCTCTATGTTGCTGCTTTGCTTATTGCTGAAACATAGTGTTTATAATGGGGAGAGAAACGATTTAAGTGTAGTCGCAGACTTGTGTATAAGTGGGTTTAACGGGATTTTTTAATTTTTTTTTTTCCCTTAGGTTGAAGGGTGAGGGAATTAATGTTTTAAAGAATTTTTGACCCATTATTTACGATATAAAAAATAGGTTGTAATAATAAAGAATGCAGGTCTTTAAAGAAAATTGAATGGAAAAATCAGTATAAGTTGTAAATATAAGTGCATTTTAATATTTAACGACCTACTTTAAACGTAAGTCTTAAATTAGTACATAACAAGACGGTCTTTTCTTGTACGTTGTTAATTATAAGTCATAAAAAATCAATTTTCTTGTAGTGAATTACTTTGGAGGCATAATATTTGTAGGTCTTGAATGCACTTTCAAGTGGTTTTAGATAGCTATACAACAAGCTGATAACAAAGCCACTACTAACAGATGCAATTAGTCTTTGTATATATTTTCTCTAAAATTAAGACTTCTGTGATACAGGTACGTGCTTGGATTTTATACCATGGACAACGCGGTGGAGGAAGTGTGAAAAATTGGAAGTCAACTTGCACCAGGAATTAATGAACAATGTGAAGATTGACAAATTGATCTATTTTTGGCAAATATTGGATTTTCTTTTTAATTTTGGCACATTGAACAATAATGAATTGTAAAATGCCTTGATCCTTTGATATGTTTAATGGTAAATTTAAATATGGATTGTTTTGGGTATTGGCATTAAGTGCAGATTGTTAGCATTTTATACTATTATTTAGTTGAAACTGTGGCCATTACAAGTTAATAACAAGTTATATAAGTGAATGATTGGGTAGCATTTGAGGGTGTTATGTATATATATTTTTATATAATAAATGCGCTCTCAAATGTTATCTAATTATTTAAATATATATAGTTATTTACAGGGGGGTTTTACATCTCGTAAATAAAATATATAGATGTATTAACGAGAGGCCAAATACCTTGTACATTAGTTATTGATGAGAGGACAAGTACCTCGTTACATTAGTTATTGACGAGAGGCCAAGTACCTCGTACATTAGCTATTAACGAGAGGCTATTTGTCTCGTACATTAATTATTAACGAGAGGTTAGGAACCTCATGAGAGTTTAATTTACGGAATGCTAAATTCGTCGTGCTTTATTCTTTTACGAGTGTTATTATTTTCAGTAGAAAGGCGAGAGTATTTACGAAACCATAATAGATGTGGGGCTCAGAAGTCCCTTGAAAAAGTTTTCACGGGAGGTTCAGCCACTCGTAATAGACCTTTTTTTTTCTTGTAGTGCGGCCTAAGTTTTTTAACCCAGTGCATCAGTGATGAACCGAAAGTTAACCCGATAAAGGATCCGAAATGCGGAAGCGAAACCAAAAACAAGACCTGTAGAGATATCAATCATCCCTAAGACATCCAAATGACTTTCCATGAAGTCATGAAACTTAAAAAAATAACCAGAAGCAAAACTAGAATAAAAAGGTCAAATGCTACCCTATGGCACCCATGACGACCAAAGGAATGTGATCTAGTTCAAACTAAACTACGTATACCATTAAATGGCTTAAACGAGATTGACAAGGTTATGTTGGAACAAACAAATAAAGCTAACCAGCCGAAACAACTGACCAAGCAAAATCCACAAAACAGCTCCATTTCGATTGACCGAAATAGAGCTTCGGTCTGCCGAAATGGACCAGGAAGAGAAGAGAAATGAGCCTTCATTTCTGTCGACCAAAATGACAAACCGGTCAACCGGTTTGTGGCTCGAAGTGAAAAATGGCTACTGGAATTGGACTTTTACTGTTCAATTGAAATTCAAAGGCCATCGATCGACCGAAACAAGCCACCGGTCGACCGAAACAGGTAGAAATGCAAAGAATAAACCTGTTAAGCACCAAAACTGAAAAGAAATTCCTAAGTCTCTAATGGATCCCCCATTGCATGATCAAAATGAATTATATGCAAGTGTGTGATGATGTGGACATACACGCAAGTGTAAAATAACATTTTAAACATGCTGAAATGGCCTATGGCCTTATTATAATTCATTTACAATATTTGACATGTCAAACTTCCAAGTTGGAAAAATTACATTTCATAGGAAAAACTTAAACATACTAACACTTGCATGTGAACAAGAATACTTCTAAAGAAACTTCAATTCGGCAAATCACCAAAGCAAGTGCAAATCTCCAATCTTGTATCATGTACCTAAAATATGCCCCAGTCACTTTGGGGTGAGCAACATAAAGCTACTCGTAGGAAATAAGCATACATCGACCTAACGTTTTACAATTTTATCACTTTAAGGTGAAACATGCTAAAGGGGCTCATACCACCTAACGTCTATGTCAAGATGAGACTCAGGAAGCATCTTAAGCTACCCTAGATCATTTATAGCGTCAATCACATCATCCATGCAATTCAAACCATATAGGAGCATGCTATACAAAGTAACATGATATAGATTCTCAAAGTTACCAACTTGAAATCTAAAGTGCAAAAACAACCAAAGTGGGTCATGCCACCTAACGTCTATGTTCCAAATGAATCTATAGGATCACTCCTAAGCTACATTTGAACAACAAAACATAATCACAATATTTATGCAATTTAACCAACATAGAAGCATGTTATACCAAGCAATAAGATATAGATTCTCAAAGTCATCAACTTGAAATCTAAAAGTGCAAAATCAACTAAATATAGCAATTTAGTATAATTAGAATATCTAATACCACACATCAAGACATAGATTCTCTAGGTTATCAACTAGAAATCTAAAAGTGCAAAATCAATTAGTGGAACACTTGGACATCTAAGCTCGGAATTCTGCCGAGACCTCAACGGCTATTACGGGGACTAACCCGCTGGTAATACCACCCCTAGTGCGCACTATCTCGACGGGGAGAACTCATACCTCCCGCACTAGAGCCAAACTCTAACCATGTCCCAAGAGACTCTAAAATAAATAAGTTAACAACTTATATATGTATAAAATGGTACACAAGACTACCTTCATGCACAAGTAAGTTGAAACCACACAATACATGCTCTAAATCCATAACTACTATAGGATGACAAATGTCGAATCTTCAGAGCGCGATTCGTTACGCGCTATAATCACACGTCGAATCTTCAGTGTGCGATTCGTTACACGCTATAACAATATAATTCAATTTTGAAAGCATAACTTATAAATCCATTACAAGTCTAAAATCATGCTTCAAACATACTACCAATGTTATATACATGATTAAATCTTCAACGCAATAGAGACGGAAATTAATTACATAACCTAATTAATTTCTATAAGTTTCAAGTCTCGATTTAATGATCCCTAATTAACACATGTTATACAACATAGCATGGTCATTACATATACCACATGAAAAACTTAATTAGGTCATTAAAACAATATGATGGAATTTAATTAAAACAAGATAATTAAATTCCTAGATTGTAAAACAATATCGAATGGTCCCAATTTAACATATGCTAGTGTACAAGTCCTAGTCATCACAAATATTAAGTTAAAAACTTAATTAAGCCAACGGAACCTTTAAATAGATTTTAATTAATCATTTTAATTAAAATCTCTAGATTTTCATATTTAACCAAATGCTCTCAAATTAAAGTATGTTAAACAACATGCCAAGACTTAATTTAAAAGCATGCTACAAGTTAATTTCATGCAAGGTACGTCCATGATAATTAAACTTTCACAAAAGATAATTATTAAATAAAAAATGCAATTCTTATTCAAATAATTCTAATTTAATATATGTTAACAAACATATCAAAACTTAATTTTCTAGCATGTCACAATTTAATTCTAAGTCATATAACATCATAAGAATTAAATCTTACCCATAGAAATTAATTAAATTAAATTCTAGATTTTAAACAAAAGCATGCATACAAGTTGTATAATCATGAAAAATACTCCATACAACACATATAAAATCCTAAAACATCCCCTACCTCAATTTGAGATGAAAATCTCAAAAGCCCACCGAAAAAAAAGTGCTCCGAATCCGATGATACCGAAGGGTTTTGTCGGGGACAAGATGATCTACATGAACCCCCAAGAAGCCCCCATCAAAATCACAACTTGACTTCAAACCCAAACTCGAAATTTGGTCAGAAATGGGTTCTAATAAGGGTGAAAGATACGTACCGCCAAGACGAGCAATAAACACAAAGGCCTTACTATGTTTTGACAAAGGAATGAAGCTCAAAAGAGGAAAGAGAAGGTGGCAGCCTCCCTTGGGCTGCCATGGGAGCTACTGGTCATGCAAGGAGAGTGGGGAAGAGGAAAAATGAAATATCTCATCCCCTTTTTATAGAAATTTCAAAAAGTGCCCCGAACGGGTCTCGCCGGGTCCGAAAAAGTGAAATTCGAGTAAACACGCTCAAATGGCAAAACTTTATGAATGAAAAATATTCAAAATGAGAAAATATGGACAACGGAAGAAACAACGTCAAAAATTGAGTCTCGAGCAGAAAGTTATGCCCCAAACAAGTTCGGCGGCAACCGGGGCCAAAAACCCTGAAACTGGAAAACAACGACCAGGAGGAATTTGTATGAGTACACGACTCGACGAAAGTGAAAATGAATCCCGTACGAGGATCCAGGCTCAAAATAAGGCATTTAGTAATAACTTTCATTAATTGCACAATGGCCCCTCCAAAAAGTAAAAACTGCACTAATGACTCAGAATGAAAATATCTTCCAAAAATATTTTCTTAGAAACCCCTGAAATCAAAAGATATTTATGAAAAACACCCCAAGAAAAGAAAAAGATTCTGAAAAACTATGCATCCATGCCCCTATGGACACCGAGAGCAACCAGAGTACTTTCTTACAAAAGTAAAGATATGTATTTCGTGGAAACCACTTAGAATGAAGATACATGAAGTCAAAAACCAACTCCGAACACAAGAAGTGTGGTTTTGCAAATAAAGTGACAAACGAGAGAAAGACAAAATAATGAAAAAGACAAAGTAGGGAAAATGACGAAAAGTGAATAATGTCGGCATCACCAGAAACTCATAATGGCCATATCGTGTACAGAAAGCGGTCTTGGATATATCCTCATCCTTAACCCTCAACTGATAGTAACCCGATCTCAGATTAATCTTCAAAAAAAAAGTGGCTCATTTCAACTGATCGAATAAGTCATCAATCCTAGGCAAAGGATACCTGTTCTTGATCATAACGTGATTCAGCTTGCGATAATCGATGCAAAGTCTTAAAGACCCATCTTTCTTCTTTGCAAAAAGAACTGGTGCTCCCCAGTGTGAAGCACTAGGATGAATAAAGCCCTTAGCTTTCAAATCATCCAATTGAGCTTTCAACTCATCCAATTCTGCTGGTGTCATACGGTATGGTGTCATAGAGATCGGCGCAGTGCCGGGAATGATGTCAATGGCAAAGATGACTTCCTGAAAAGGAGGGAGCTCCGTCAACTCCTCTAGAAAAACATCCAGAAACTCCACAACAACTGTTAGGTAAACACGGCCTGAACTGCTATCCTTGTCAGCTAACAGGCTAGCCAAGTATGTGACGGCCTTGGTTTTTCAAGCCAGTGCGTCATGTGATGGACTGTAGTTTGACCCGATAACGGATCTAGAATGCAGAAGTGAAAGTAAAAAAACAAGTCTCTAGGGGATATACAACATCCCTAGGACACCAAAGTGACCTTTCATAAGGCC